GAGTCGATTCGTGCTCGCTATAATTATTGCTAAGTGTCCATGGGTGTATCAAGAAAGTGAAAAAGAAAGCACCAGTATCTTTCCATAAGAGCGCACAAACAGAGCAGGGCACATGCGCACGTCAATGTAATGCTTACACTCTCAATGCCGGGCAGGCCGTCTGGTAGATGAGCAGGACTTGATGAGTACGGGCGCTGGTGACTGCGCTGTAGTAACAAAATAGGGTGGTGGCGGTAAGATGAAAGCAGTAACATGAGCACAAGACTCTCGCAGGACAAGAACTGCCCAGGTCGGCTGCCGCCAGCGTTTCCGTGCCAACCACCGAACGCAGTACGGACCGCAATGCGTATTGCTCAGGCTGCTCCTGTGAGTTTCGCGGTCGTAGAGGATTAAAGTGATAGGTGACGCCGAGAAGAAAGAGAACAACAGGGCGCATTGCCATTCGTTGAGCTGACGGTGACTTGTGAGCGAGATGGTGGTGGTGCTGTTTGTTGTTCCTTGAAAACGGCACATATCTCTCTATTGTTTATGCTTCAAGTTTTACGTCCAGTGTCGCCGTTAGACATTCCATTTGACGGTATATCTCTCTATCCAACAGATGCATGCACGTACTACTGCTGCTGCTGCTGCTGCTGCTGCTTATGATGATTCTTCATCAAGAACCGGAATTAAAATCTCTGCACCTTTTTAGCCCGTCTAGAACATTGCCTCCCTATTGGCACGTGTATTTCCCGAAATTACATGCTTGTCTCTCTTGTATGTTGATAACAACAGAAGATTATCAGTCGCTCATTAACATCGCATCATGATGACATGGCTGTACACATACAAACTCAATCACAGGAGTTAGCTGGTAAAGACAAATCTTCTTCGATGACTCTGGTCAAAGAACCTTAAAAAGGTGATCTCTTGTCTTACCTATCGAGCCTGCTGCGTCTATGTTCCCTGGACCGAGTGTCGTTCAGAACAATGTTGCCTGCCTTGCCTATCAAAGAGGAGCGGTTTACCAAAAGCAAACAAATAGATAGACCGCCAATTCCCGATTGTGAAGACATTTGCTAATATTAATGTCGATGCCGATTCGACCCGGAAAGGAGACCAGCTCATTGTAGAAGCCTGTAGTGTGGTATATATATAGCGTGTAGTAGTGTGTAGCCGTCTCACTCGTTCACCAGTTGTCCTCGGCCGTTTGGGGGTACGAAATGCGTGCAGCACGACCGCGGCCGCAACCACAAGATACACATGACCATGACCAGCAGCACTGGCAGCGTCACCGGAATCAACCGCAAAACGTGATGGAGATCATATCGTCGTCTGGATGGCGGCGACGCCGTTGGCGAAAACGCCGGCTAAACCAGATCGGCCCCACAATGGAATAGAGCACGCGAACCCAGCTTCGGTCCAAGGCTTGACCCATGTACTGGCAGTTTGCGCTAGAGCATCGTAGATCTGTCCTGCCTTCAGCTCGGACTGATTAAATAGAAAGAGAAAGGGGAACGGGGTAAATGTATTCCACACAGACAGGCACACGTCAGGCCGAAACGTCAGGGCCTGATAGACTTCGACTCCCAGCAAGTCAATATTTCGCCATCGATGAGGCCTTTTTAGCAGGACCTAAAGCAAAGTGAGTGCTTAATCATCGACAACTTAATATTGCGTTGAACACTGCGGCGTGATGCGCGGACTTGGCGTATTCCCTTCCGTCTGCTAGACAATATTGTTGTGGAACACAGCGCATGTCAATACTTCATACCGGTTAAGCTCGAAAAGGTCCATACGCATAACGCAAATTTCATTACACACACGTATTTTAACACACGTTCATGGAATACAAAACAAACCACCTAAAGCACAAATTTCCTATTTTTTAAAGAGGAACAGGTCTTGCGCTTGAGCATTTAGTTTTCAGTCCCCTACGAATGTTGGAAGCGAACATTCATCTTGTTAACCAGATACGCCAAGTAAAAAAAATGTATTCCACTGATTGGCGCTCTTGTTCTAATGATTCTATCCGCTGTTCCTCCCACCCTTCGCTGTATGATACTGGCCGTATCTACGCCTACACATGTACCCGTAGCTCGTAGACAGGCCAAAGGTAGCTGGATACCTAAATCGCGCTTACTTACCGAGGCTTATCCAGCTCGTAATTGTAGCAGCAGCAACAGCAATAGGATGCAATAACGTGTAGCAGCAGCAGTAGTAGTAACCGCAGTAATAGTCCTTAGCGTTCTTGATTGTTTGCCCATAATTTGCAGCCACTAATGGCGTTGCATTCGACCGGTTCGGACGGCATCAGCGGCGGCAGTGGCAACGGCAGTGGTTTGGCAGGGCCTTAGCGCTGTCCCTAGAGGGCAGAACGAGAGCCAAAATCGGAGCGGCAATCGCGGCAGCCCGCCGCATCCGGCTTCGCGTAGAGCGTGGGGCTTAAGCTCAATGCTTCTTAGTTAGTTGAAGTAAGACGGTTAAGACTTACTCGCCACCACCTAAGTGGCCCCCAGCCAGCCGTCGAGCTAGTGGCCATGGGTACGCACACGACGGCGGCAGCGGCGGCAGAAGTAGCAGGGGCAAAGGTATGAGCAGCAACGGGGTCATTGCGTATGGACTGTGGCTGCAGAAGGAAGAGATTTAGAGACCAATAGGTATTCCCGAGGTTACTTACTCTGCCTAAGTAGATGGCCGGTGTCTGTGTGTTTGGACGCTCATCAGAAAACATGCATAGGCCATCAGGTGCTCATGACGGGAGCGCCGATGTGGTAATCGAATGGCGAAAGAAACGCCTTTGAATTTTGTGTTCGATCGTTATAGTTGTGGTTGGAGAGAGGATTGTAGCTTGATTTGAGATCATGTTAATCGTGTTTATTTATTCATCTGTTACTCGTAACGCTAACGTTACTTTCTCCAACGTTTGACATATTACGCCAGAAGAGCCTCGATCTTTGCGTCAGTGAGGTGAAAGAAGGTTCGTTCAGGTCGAAAAGTTCGTTCGGCGGTATCGTACCTGCAAAGGTAAAAAATCCAGTAAGAAGAACACGTTTCGGCAAGGTCACGACTAAAGTCTTTACATGCCTCTACAGCCATTCGAGACATGACCTCTTCCGACTATTACGTATTAAGGCTACTGGAGTGATTTCAATTTTGTAGATCGGTTAAGTTCGACCCCAATCGCTCATCCGACCCCACGAATAACGGTAACAAGCTCTAAGCGGATGCTATGTTGACAGAGCAATTCTAGAAAACGTATATTTATAAAAGAAAAGAAGCGATATTGGACGTCGGACCGTGGTACGCCAGGTGATTCAGTACAAGTTAATACGTCATCACCTGATAATCTTATTCGTAGATAACAACTTAAATCGCCGAGAGATAACTTCATAGAGCTGATCTATTTTCAGCCTAAGATACAACTTATAAAAGGGCATTAACGCTTCAAAATCAGCATTTTACTGTCAAAAGGTTGATTTGACTAGTGGTTTTGATGTGAATTTTACTAGCCGAAGATAAATAAGGACAACGACAACGACAACATTTTTCAGGGCGGGTTGTTTATGCAACCGTATTCATAAGAATGTGAAGGATGGGTTTCAAAATAGAAAATATTATTTTCCATTGTCGAAACGCCGTTTCCGAGTTTTCGTTGAATGAATAAGGACATTACCGGAATTGAAACTAATACAAGGTGTATTATATGGGCTTGTCAATCTGGGACAATTGTACTAGATTTTTGGGTAGATCCAACGTTTGCCGTACGACCGAACAAGAATTTGTAGCCGTTCTATGTATCATACGTCGGTCAGAATCAAATCATCACAGTCGGGTTCCCCGTTGACGGGAAACTAAAGTCAACTGTGAAGCCAACATAAAACAACATTTACCCTTCAGCTGTGACCATACTCATCGTTGCAGGCTAACCGACCGGATAGCTAGCTATTCCGACCTGGACCTTTCTACTTCTAATTTGCATCTACTCTGTTTCGATTACTGCTGATGGAAAGAGACTGACACGCACAAGTGGTCGGTTTTTAACAGCAAAACTTTTTCACGCACGTCGAGCGTTTCAAGTTCGAACGAAAGATGGACCGTGAAGTCATCAGTATGGAACACCCACTAGGTAATGGTATGGTGGCCAGTTGCTTTTGATTATATTCCATACAGCCATATATAGATATCTCCCCCGTGCTGTTATTCTTTATAGAAAAATAAAAGCACTAAATTTTTAACTAAACATCGCCGCTGCCCGACCTGCTACGGAACAATGACATTGATTCATTTTGACAAAGAAGGCAAGCAAGCTGTCTATCCGGTTGCAGAGTACGGCTTTGATGAACGCTGGCCAGGTATTTGAATTTTGCCGCCTAATAATGCTTGCAGTCGGTCGCCTATGGGGCCAAGTATCAAAATCGTCTGGCTGGCTGAAAAACGACGACGACGACAACAACATAATTTCGACCGATGAAGGACACTTACTAATTCAAGATTTTGTCATTCATCTGCTTATCTGTCTTCTCGCAGTTCTGCACAGCTTAGTTATTTTGGCTAAATTTTAACTTTGCTATCACAGAGCGTTTATTTCGCCTAGCGCGATTCGTGTCGTCGTCTTATTCTGCGCGCTCAAATTTTAAAATTTGTTGCGCGTCACCGTCGACTCCAGTGCCGTCGTATCCGGTTCAGTAGAGGAGCAGCATAGAATTTGCTATTGCTGCTGCTGCTGCTGCTACTGCTGCTGTTGTCTGATCGGTGTTCAGAATCAGAATCACATTCAAACTGTTGTCCGGGCAGTGACGCGCTGGCGGCGGCGAAGGCGGCAGTGGCAGCGGTGGCGACTAAGTTCGTTTGCTCTTGCTGATGCTGCTGCCGCCGCCGCCGCCGCCGCCGTCGCTGTGCTCACGTCAAACTATGGCGCCCTCTCGCGGTATCATGCGGTAGCGATGACGCTGCTCCTGCGAAAACGACTACTTCTGCTATAAACGACGATGGCGGTGGCGGTGGCGGCGGCAATCGTGGCCCGATGTTACCGACGTTGCTGCCACCATCGCCGCTGCTGTTACTGGCGAAATTGTCGAGTTTTCTATAATATTTATTATGCTACTGTTGCGGGATCACTTGGTTGTTCTGCGGCTGCTTTTGCTCTACTCTGTTTCCCGCTGCTCTGCAACGTTCTGTTGTTCTCTGGAACGGCGTCCGATGTCCGGGCGTCACCGTGAGGTCATTCAGGCAGCAGCAGGCGCCCCAACCAGCTCCGACACCGGCGTCGTCGTTGTTGTTTCGGTCTCCGTCCGGCGAGACTTATTCGAGCCACCGAGTGGCCACAGACATAGGCAGGCCGGCGATATTTTCCCATTGAGCAGTAACGTGCTTCAGCTATGACACCACCACAGCGGCTGTTGGCAAGAAACAACTGCAGGCTCCAACGATCTACCCATACACATATATCGATGTCCATGTGATACCGAATCATTCTTCGGCAGGCAATGAGAAGGGTGCGAACGAAAGCATTTCTGCACAAGTTGAACAAAGACTTTGTTAGCATCATTGGCAGTACCCATATTACTAGTAGCACTAGTATGGAGTCTTTGTGATGGTGCAGTGGCAATGTGTTTGTCTACCAAACATAGACACATGTGAAATCCAGATCCGAACCCGGACGTAGCCACACTCCATTTAGTGCTGGGGACCACTCATCTCAGGCAGTGCTAAAAGGCTGCACCGCACTTCGTGCGAGTAAGTAGAAGTTGAAGATGGGTTCTGCATCGATTTTTCTTAACACAGCTAGGTAAAGTTGGAGAATCATTGCTGAACATCGACTTAGTGCTAGCAGATCATACGCGAAGTGAAATACTGTGTACAAATCGTTATCAGGATTACAATTTTTGAAAAAAATGATAATCAGCTTCTAACAGACCTCAAGTTCTATTTCAGCGTTTAGATAGGGGGTCAACTTTATGACGTAAATGCTGACAGGGTAACTAGTAAGTTACCCTGTAACATGTAAATTTAAAAAAATTAAAAATTTCACTCTGAATGCCTGCACGATGAAGCTGAGTTCGTATCGCCAATGAGGACATTCCACCTCATTAACTCCCACCTATACTGGAGGATATAACTAGCGGATTGAATCCTGGTCAAACTTACCATCAGAGCGACGCGCATATCAGTATTGCGACGGACCTATTAAAGCAGTTATGTTCACCAAATAAATAAATTCAACATACGTTGACTACAAACCAAACGTAGCATACTACGATAGGTAAACTGTAGCCTGCATTACGCCAGCCTGCGTGAATAGCTGTTTAACCTTTACTTTTATCTTACCTTTAAATCGATCGTTTAACAAAGGCAATTTAGCGTCGTGGGATTTAGTATCAGCGATCGATAAGATGAGCAGTTTACTATCGGTAACTGTAAATATTAGAAGATCATTACGTTGTTTCTAGATGGGTGTCTTGTGGGATCCAGTTCTCCAGTCGAATTCATAGTAGTTTAGATTCCATTCAGACTGAAACATAAACGACTAGATGAAAGCCAGCGCTCGTTTTTCCAGGCACGTCTCCATGTATGGCTCCGCTTAAAAACTGTGAGTCATTCTATAAGAGGCCCGTTTCTAGTCGTAGCTGCTGTTGAGGTCATTGTTTCTCTTAGCCATCACGTTATATTCTGGGGGTTGTTGGGCGCTTCACATTCGGCGAAATGCGTCGACATCATTTCCTCCCGATCTGGGCCTGATGCTGCATCAACCATTGCCTTTGTCTATAAAGACATATTATAGTATATAAATTGTTGTCATTTCTAATGAAACTACTTTCCTCACCATCTCCCCCTGCCCCGGCCCTACCATCCTGTTTTCCATTCCATCCATCGTTCTTTTCCAGCCCTTTATCCGTTTCTTTCTGAACAATCCACACAACATCCGCCGGCTATGGTGGAACATGTGTACATAGATGCATACTATCACGGTTGCCACTGCCGCAGTTTTCACCAGCAACTGCACCGTTGTTAGATAAATAAACAAAACCATTATATGAGATTAATAAAAATAAAACAGTACCGATCGAGCGAATGAGAAAGAAAGCAAGCCGACGAACGGCCGAGCGAATCGTAAAAACAAATCGCGTCGACCTGACGACCGACTCGACCCGCGTCCGAGTCCCCGCAACAAATGCAATTGTATCCGTTAGTAGTACTAAGGTAAAAGGCGGCAGCAGCAGCAGCAGCAGCAGCAGCAGCAGCTAGTGCTGCGGTGGTGTCGCCAGTGGCAGTACGTATACCGGAGCGGATGGCGGTGAATAAGCCGTGGCTCACTGGCTTGCCTTTAAAAGTCCATGCACATTTTAAGAATCAGCCTGGAAACTGATTAGAATCGCCCTCATTTATCGGTCAAACGAACGAAGAAGACAAAGCATCCCATGACAGGATGGTCGATGGTTTGTTGCGGCCGCTATGGTCATCGGGAAAGAAAACAAGCAAACGAACGAGCGAGCGAATCAGCAACTGGAAACCGTCGACCGCTGCTAGCGAATGACGACCAAATGCATACGAGGATAGATTGCCATAGACGTTTCCTGCAGCAGCAGCAGCAGCAGCAGCAGCAGCAGCAGCAGCAGCCGCCGCCGCCGCCGCCTGCTTCTGTTCATCCGTCAGTCAATACAAAGATGACGACACAACAGTGCACAGCGCCGATTCAACAATACGGTGCAGGGCAGCCGCTGCCTGGTCGATCATAATAGTACTGCTTCCAGCAACGGCCGCGTCGCGCCGGACCATTGCACGAACCGACCTGCCAGTATCATCAACATTGTGATCAGACTTGCAGATCGGTTTCCCGACCTCATCAGGGCCTCAGTTGTTGAATACATCTGCAGTGGGCAATAGTAGATAGGAAATAGTGAGGATGGCGGTCACGAAAAGTAAGGGCTTGAGTCGTTTTGCATTTGGAAATATTGCCTCATTATCGATTAAGGAATGTAGAGGACGCGCATTGATAATGGACCGGCTATGTAGCACATCTGATGAGCGTACGCTTCATAGTTATATAATTTCGTTAACGGCGCATATCGTCTCCGGTCTGTAGATTTAACCCAGCAAAGAGATCTTTATTACCAAACCCATGCCATTTTCATATTTTAAACAATAAAAATAACTGGATTAGCGACAGCGTTAATGACGTGCACGTCTGGCAGACAACAACATTAACAGTCTAGGGGCGAATTGAATTGAGCTGATATGCGCTTGCCCATCGGCCGTTCAATACATGGTAACGACTAGCACCGGGGGCCACTCGGTCTCGTTTCTCACTGCTGTCAAAATGCCACACTTAATTGTTTCTAGTTTTACGTTGGGAACCGCCGCTAAGTGCCGCTGACCCAAGCGGCTGGCTTCTCTCTGTATGAAGCGACATCTGTTGTAGCAGCACTCGGATCCAGACTGCCTTGTGTGTCTCCGTATCTGCTTGGCAAACGTGTTATCGCAGAGGCGTTGCGGGTAGTAAATGATCGACAAATAAATGGATACTTGTGATGTTCAACCTTGCTTTGGTGTATGTACAAATTAGCCAATCTGCAAGTAGATTGCGACGACGAATTTCGTAAAAATTCTCAGACACATATATATGCTTAAGGAGGTCCGCAGGCCACTCTGAGAGTGCGTGAAAAATAAGATTCTGGTTTATTTGTAAAGGCCGTTAGTTGAACGTCGGAAGCTACGACTTCATTGTCGAATCTGCTCAGATTCTTTTGCATCCGGGCCACACGGTCGTTTGACAGAGACAGCGGAGCGATAAAGGAGCTTCGCACCCGCTTGGAACTAGCATAACGCTTCGGTCGCTAGAAAGAAGATCAGCTTCCGGCGAGGAAGACCACCTTGAGGGCATCATTAATTCAAGAATCGATATGTTAGGCTAAATGGCCTAAAGAGACAGAGAAGGAGTCCGGCCTTAGTGTTATCCTGCTCTGTAGCCGATTCAGAGAACCACGTAGATCGTGTCCGGCCGACTCTGATCTCCAGCTGTGGCCACAACGTAAATATTCATCCGTAGGTGGTGGCGGCAGTAGCAGCAGCGACATCGGTGTCGCTTGCCGCTGCCGCGGTAGCGCCGTATTTACCAATCGGCGTTAGAATAGTCGCTTGCTGTCGTCCTGGCCGCTACGCCAATTACGGAGCGGTGAAGCGTGCAGGGATTTTTAGAGTTGAGTTTGGTCGATTTTTTTACAAGACGAATTCGGTCTATTCAGCTGATTCCAGTCAGCAGCGCGTTTCGTAATTTCTATTCTTTAGCGCGATTGGTTATCACGATTTTTTCGCTGCTGCTGCTGATGCTGTTGTCATCATTGGTGTTATTAGCCTTGTTATTATTGTCATTACTTCGATGGTCGAGTTGCGTGTTTCTGTTGTCAACGTGGGAGCATGCGGTAAAGGAAAGGGACGGAGAATCACCGAGAAACTGATATTTTTGTAAACTTCGTTTGCTGCTGCTGCTGCTGCTGCTGCTGCTGTTGTCGCGTTGCTGCTGCCGCCACCACAGCACAGCAACGTCAACGCCTCCGTGGCTGAAGTAACCGAAACTTCGATGTGACGTTGACATGGAGGTGGCGGTGGGAGACGCTGGCGAAAACCTTCAACTGTAGCCACTGACGCCAACAGTAGCTGATTTTAGGTGTCACATTAAACGCAGGAGGGGCGGCAGGCAGGTGCATACTTTGCGGTTCGCACTTGATGGCCTAGCCGGCGCCGATGGTCGACGCTTCGATGGAGTTGTCGGTAGAACTTTGAAAATCTGACCACGATATATTGATAATACACCATAATAGATTGCGCCGCTACTGCCTTCAACACATGAGACGCTTATTATCATTGTTATTATTTTCACTAGTCCTCCTTTTATCTCTCGGTGATGTTGGCAACGTGTGTGTAAGCAAAAACGAAAACTAGTGAGCACATTGCTGCTACAACGAGTACTTCGAACGAGCAATAGTGCAGATGAGTTATTAAGTAGCGGTCCATGCTGAGGGACGAAGCCATAGAATAGATCGGGGCAGAAGCTCCGTCTGTCAGTACAGCGGTCGTTAGTATCGGCGTATGCTAACGCTTCATATGCCGTCGTGTCAAAATCAGATAGAAATGACGAGCAAGCGTTCACTTGAATCGCATGATTTTTTTTATTGTCTTCAATGATCAGCATCGCCGGGAGGGGCTGCAGCGGTTCCAGCGGCAGCGCAGAGCTGCCTATCAACGTCGTTGTCTAGGCGAAGCTATCGTTTTTAGGGTACAGCTGCGTGTTCCCGATCTGCAGCCCTTGCTGCTCGCTCCCCCGCGTGGTCATTCTTCTGTATTTCTGCATAAATCTAACACGAACAAATTCACAGTCGGTACTAAGACGGTAGTGAAGATTATAAAATATTACGCTTGATCGAGTTTTGTGGGTAGAACACTTTTATGGGTAGAGCTCAGACACTATGTGTTTTATTTTCCCCGATAGCTTCCGTAAACAGTGTGATTACTTTGCTTGCCCAGTTGGCTAAAGGTATTATTATTAATTATCTATTACATTTTAGGTCGAAATGAATCAGGTGTCGAATTGAGCCTAAATTTCCACTTGTATCTTGTTGTTGGTCCATTGTTACGCGCCTCTCCACACCTCGTATAACTTCTTCAGCAACACATTCCTACGCTGTCTGTGTTCGACCTCTAAACATGATCAACCACATTACCCGTAGTCCTTCTCTATTCTTCATTTATGCTGCTAACTGCTTGCCATTAACGAGTGTGGCATTCTGCTATGGGGCCGCGTCGTCACTTGCCCTGGTATTGCTTGAACCCGCCGTATTTTCCAATTTGTGATATCACTTATTCACAAGAGTCGTAAGCAGGTTCGTTGGCCGTCAACACTCAATGAGTGGTAATGCTACCGCCGCTGCCGCTGCCGCTAATGGCGTTGCGAAGTAGGCCCATTATTGAACTAGAAAAAAAAAAAGCCGAGTTTCTTGCTTTTCCACCTTCAATGATTGACGCTCATAAACAGGGACGAACAATAATAATAATACGAACGTAGCGTACAAAGTCGCACGCGGGGTACACAATCGAACGCACGAGCGAACACATGCGGCAGCTGGACGCGAGAGACAGGGTTCTAGTCACACGCGGACGCTAATGCGACAGCAGTAAATGTCAATGATATATGTATACCATACTATGTATCGTGAACAAACGCTTTCAAATAATTTTACGATTCATTGTTTATCTGTCTGAATACGCATGTCTCTGTTTGAATATTATAATGATTATTATTATTACCTGTGAGATTTGTTCTGTTTGTTTCTGCATCAGTCGTTCGCTTGCGGTGGTCGGTAGCTGGAGTCGTTTTTCTCCGCTCTTCCCTCTGACTAGCTACTCTGTTCACGTGTTCATCGTTGTCGTTAATTGTGCGGCGGCCTAGCGTTGTTACCTAGTAGCGACCGGGTACGCTCATGTCTTCAAGGACATAGCTGAGCTAACATGGTCGACTAATAACGCCGACCAAAGAAACTGCGATGACGCCCGCCTCATCTTACAAATTTTCAATTATAACGCGCACAGATAGCAATAATGCCCACCACATTAACACAGCACAGAACTTGACTTTATTACCCTTAATAACAGCTAATATTTGCTTGAGATGCCCGTACAATTTCAATGACAACGTTAATAACAAAATATCATATGTGCCTATTGTCTGCCATTGGCCATGTGTGTGTGTGTGTGCATGGCACTTTAGGCCAGCATATCTCATTGTAGAAACGTGGTGTGTTTGCCATCGAATGGAGAAACACTTATTATCTATGTTGAAACATCATTAAACTTATTATCTAGGTTGTTTTTATATCAACGAACTATGTTTAATAATGCGCTTGTGTTCAGGCCTATATTTTCAACTGTGCAGTTATTTTGCATCATAGCACTGGCCAGATATTTTGTTTCTAGTTATTAAACAGCTTTTCCGTTTGCAATGAAGTAAAATGTTTGCTCTGAAATAGCTAGTGTAGGCCGATTATGAGTATTTTCTGTTCGGGAAACAGACGCGCAAATCTGAAATATTTAGATCCATTTAGTAAGGTAATATAGCTAGACAAAATTGAAGGTTGACATTTTGGTAGAAATTTCCGAAAAGTTCATAAATAAAGATACGCTATGTTGACTCTTCTACGATAATGCGTAACAAGCAAACATACTATTCAGACAGTCCTGTGCAAAAGACCGCGTACGTAGTTGATTTAATTCGTACCACAGAAAGCCTTAGCGCAATTGGACTTTTCTATCAATAGCAGTATTCAAATACATGGTATTGAGAACTTTAACTTTACCCATAGATTTTTATGTATATACCACTAACCCCGGCGGAGTACGATTCAGGACCTGTGTATGGGGTGGTGGGTGCGGTTTCAAATATATTACGTATATAGGGTGTAGTGGTAGTCAAGCTGGTCAAATATGTGTTTATATTAAGTAAAACAGGTAAAAAGAGTTGCAGCTCTTCAGAACGGATCGGACATTTGAGAGTTTTGTTTTTGAGAGATTTGTGTTCTCAAGTAGTTTCATTCATACACATTGATTTCTATATTACAGTGCAACGTTACGGGACGCCGCTGTCGTGCCAGCACACTTGCTGCAGTTATTGATCCTCCGTCCTCCATGATGTTGACGCAGACTCTTCTTGCGCACTCCCGAAACCGCTTCATCGGCGGGGTCGTTTTGGGCCGACTTGCCAACCTGATCTCCGCAAAACATTAGCATTACCAACGATCTTTGGAAGAATCAGTAACGTCTCACTATAGCATCATTACTCGAAAGGGATTCGCGTCAGCAGTGGTCCTCCTTCGCCGCGGCCACCAGCGACGCCGCCTGATTCCGCTTCCTCTCGTTCTGTCCGTCCCCAGCGTTGATACCACGTCGCCGCCACCACGAGTAGAATACGGAGAAGCGTAGTACTCAGCGCTGTGAGCGATGTTCGCATAGTCAAACGGCGCGTTGCCTGTTATTACCTACCTAAGGCAGTTGTTGAGGCTGTCGCCGTCGCTTGTGCTGTCGTTGCTGCTGCATTTCTTACAGCTGCCGTTACCGTTGTAGCTATCGGGCATCCGCAACGATGGTGCTGGCCGAGTCTTCACGTATGGTCGTGGCAGCACCGTCTTAGGAGGATGGCCAGCGAATGTCGTCGGCCAGCAAACGAACATGGAGGACGGGTCTCCTCCAGTACAACTGCTAGCACAACTACTAGCACTAAGACTACTCGCTGCTTAATAAGGAAGCACAGATTAATATATATTAATTGGATTCCATTAAGAGTGAAGATGAGTGCAAGGAAGCGGGATAAAGGCAGCACCAACAGCAGCACGGTAGCGACAAGGCAGTCGAGAAGGCCCATACCAACAGATCAGTTTGACGAAGAACTAGAAGCTAAAGAAGAAAAAAACAGCGGACGATGATGGACTGGGAACTGCGAATCGACGAACAAACGGACGGTCGGTCGGTCGGTCGGTCGGTCGGACGGACAAACAAACAGTGGATAGAGAGAAAGGAAAGAAAAAGAAAAATAGACGACGATGACGGCAACAAGAACGAGTGCAAACCTTATAGAAGCGCTGATGAGAGCAGTATCTCATAGCATGCGTCATAAAGGTTCTACTGAGTCTGCCGTCTCAGATTCCGTGGCTATCAGCGCTCAGGCAAATACTAATGGTATGAATATTCTCGCTGGGCATGAGGGGACGCGGAGTGATGGTGCTGACAAATTGACTTCACCGAGATCGCCATCGTTATCATGCGCTTGGTCAGCGGGACAACAATACAAGTGAACGAAGCGACTGGATAGCGGTGCGCGACCACGAACATGTGCATGCAAGCACGAATGACCATTCACTCCACGTGTTATAATGCAATAGAGTAATTAATTATATGAGTCCTGTCGAGCTGAACATCGTGCAAGCAGTTTGTGAAGAGACAGGAGCTGATCTTGACACGAGAAGGGTCAAATTGTGACAGGTAAGGATCCAGCTGACCGCTCAGCATTCTACGGGGCTTTCACAGTGAAGAAGGTCGAAGGTTTGTTAAACGAGATTACGGGTTAAACGGGGGACTAAGATTGCAACGTCAAATATCTGTTGGTATCGGCGGGTGAGGCACTTAGTGTTTTGTCGGCATCCATGTCAGAATGCGTGCTTGGCATCGTCATGATCTTCCCGGCAAGAAGCCGACATCAGGCAATGATACCTGATGCGGCAATGTAACGGGGTTATGAGTTAGCAATAGTTACCGCGATGGTTAAGCACTAAAGCGGCGACCATTGGCGACTACACTAACGTGTTGTTAGCGGACGCAAAATTATGAGAGCGTAACTGGGGCCACTTTTAGATCTACCGATACCCGCTAAGTACTGCTAGTTTGAGAAATAAGATCGTTCATACATTTGCAGCCGAAACTCCAATAGTTGCTACAAATTCTCTTATTCTATTCTGTTATAGCTTGGTATGGTTCTTTGCTCACAAGTACCAATAGTGCTAAACGGAATTTTAATTAGCGTCATATCCGTACGCCTTATCAAGCTGATTTCAGTCCCGTAGCTGACGGCATATTTTTGAGTGATTGAGTTAGTTAGAAATACTTATGGAATCATTTTCTGTATTGTACTAAAGTAGTTATGAAAATAGATGCCGTAGAGGCGCCCATTATTGCATATTGAATTTGTTCTATAATAGATTAAGCCAAAAGGAAAATTCTGCTTCATTCGAGAGAAGATTTTTCTTCACAAAATAGAGCACGTGTTTTTGTACTTTCGGAAAAAAAATGAATTGTGCTAAAATGAAAAGTGACTTAACAGATGCGAACAAGTTCATAAGAATATTACCGCATCGGAAGCATTCCGTGGCAAGTCGGGTGAGGCAAATATGGAGGAGATCATATGGTTTCCTTGATCATTTTCCTTACCCTATTCAGTCCACTTCCTTCCTTTCCACTCTTTCATAAGTCTCTCGTGAAGAGCCGTGACTGAAGGAAAGAGCCCACCAGACTGCTTTTTGCTTTTGCGGCGACTGCTCCGTGCAGCGCTGGCGCTGAATGAAAGATGTGCTACTGCCACCGCCGCCGTTGCCTGAGTAAGTGCGCCCTTCGTTGATCGATACCAGATCTCGGTGACGGGCCGACCGACCGACCGACCGACCGGCCGGCCGGCCGGCCGGCCGGCCGACACGTTGGGGGTGCTACGGCGATCATAGTGACAGAATAGAGACTGGCCGTTATCTTCCATGTCGGCAGCAGACGACCGCGAGTAACTGCTTGAGGGCCAGCCGGCAAACCAGGGGGATGGAGAAAGTCAGCAAGATGGTGGTCGTGTACATTGTTCCATCTCCGTTTCCTCGGCAGACAGAGAGACATAGAGGCTGCCTGGGAGGGAAAGAGAGCAAGATCTCTTAGGCGAACGAGCAATCTTAACTCAATTAATATGAGAATAATTGCTTTATTTGATTGCTGCTATCTATAGTACAGCCATTCCTGTTTGCACGCAGACGCATACACGTGCACACTGACGCTCATAGAGAGTCACACAATATTCGCGAAGAACAGAACTCTAAGAATAGTTACTTATATAATTGTGTTCTAGAAGGAAGCGAGAGCGTGTGAAGGGGCGCTTTTTTCTCTCCGTCAACGAGATGTCGAGCGAGAGGCAAGTAAAAAGAAGAGCTTCTGGCATGATTCATCAACGCTACCATTATTATTAATGGAGTTAAAGTGGAGTCGCTGAAGTCATCGTGCCGGGTGTTTCATATGTCTGCGCGTACGGAGTAGCGGACAAATATTGTGTTCTCTGTGGATATACTACACGTCTAATGAGTCTGGTAGTAGTTTGTTGCCTTGGAAAGTGGAGTAAATAGACATATCGGCTTCTTTGAGTTCACTCTAAAGTATGAATGGATTTATCATGCACTGAGAGAACTGCCTTACGATACCCATTGGACTTACTTACGGCGCTTTTCTGGAGCGGGACCACAAAGAAAGCCAAATAATAGCCAGTGGGGGACCAAAAACCCTACATTGTAGATTATTCTCTCAGAACTGTATTACAACAGGGTTATAATAATTTAGTTGATTTATTGATTTAGTTGACAAGTTGATTTATAAACCTATAGTTTGTGTTTGCTCATACCGCGACAGGAACAGTGAACTAGCGAGGATAGAATTAATCTAGTTAACGCATAGAATTGTATTTATAATTCTAACTATATCTGCAAATGCCTCAAAAAACGGTGATTATAATGTAACGGAACAGTCTTAATTGTTGTCAGTCTTGTTATCAGGTTTTCATACAGAAATAAGACGTTTAGAGTTATTTCAAAAGCATCGAGACTACAAAATGGCCAAGCATGTTTAGCTCGACGAGCATATTTAGCTTTTCTCTATCGCAAACATGCTAGTAATGTTTAGGGATATTATAGGTTAAAACAGCTCCAAATTCAGAATATCTAGGTCTGGGGATGTTGCTTAAGATACTTTTCAGAAACTCCATTGAATAATAACAGAAGCGGATTCTGTGGGATGTACATACCTATTTTACTAACATAAACCTTTACACTTTGCAAGTGGTCTTTTCATAAAAATTAGCTAAAACACTGAAAAATACAAACTGTAAGCATGAGCTTATATATTAATGGGCCGACTAAAAATTGCCAATCCAGGACTAATATACCATTAACACTAAGAATTCGTTACGTGCTTAGCTGGCTACATCAAGAACGTTCCGCTGTAACGCAACATATATGCCCTATAAAAAAAAAATCGTGGAATCAAGTTCAGTATTGATTAAATATAGCCATTAATGTTAGTGCAGACAATGTTTGTGGGAAAATTGGCAACCTTGCCAAAAAAAGACGTTGATAGCGTATGAACGGAGTTTTGCGTGAAACAGCACTACGGGGAGACGAATATGTGAGGTAGCATCTAGTGTTCAGTTCTATGTTACAGAACTAGAACAAAAAAACAGCTCCTTTGCTTAGTATGAAGAAAAATCGGAAGGTGTCACTATTCTTTAGTACGACACTATTTTAATTATGCCGATGATGCGCTAGTTACTATGTAACGTTAATTTTTAAACCTTCGTGCATCTTTTATGTACGAGGCCGAATGCCACCAACGAAAAATGGGTGCTTAATCTGAAATACGGTAATAGTGGTACGGCAGCATCGTTAGTTATCAAGATACGACCTTACGGAATTGTGGTCCAAGCAAAGTCAACCACGATCGTTGGACAGAGCTGCAATTTAGGAGATGTGCCGAATTACGCTACCCTCGTCTAGATTATCGACAGCGTACGCTTCATGGTGACCGATCAACCATATTTGAATGTATGTTTTCATTGCTGATATTTTGTTATTTGATTTCCATCTAGGTGCTTGCCATTCCGTTCAAGTTGGACTCCAACGCATATTTGTAACACGCTCCCAGTTATTTTCCAAAATTGTTTTTTATTTTCAAAACAGGAAAAATCGACTGTCGGTAAAGCTAAATATTTGCTAGCAAGTTCTTTTGTGTCATTGGTACGACTGGTGCCTGACCGTCTAAGTGCATCTGTTCCCTTCGCTATTTTATTTCTCTATGAGCATCGATGTGTAAAGGAAAACAGCTTAGAAGAGGAGTGTAGAATGGATCAAAGCGCCAATGAAAAAAAACTCGAGGTGATTTTAAGTACTGGGCCGCGGCGTCGCATTAATAATGATTTGATCATTTATCAAAAAACGACGAACTCTGAACTTCCACCAGCTCTTACCCGACAGACTTAGCGCACACGCTTTTTTTACCCCTCCCCATCCGATCCACTTTTGTGGCTGACGCTGCTTCGCGGCTGCTATCACAACTGAAGCCGGAGAGGTGCTTCTCTGACTCTCTGCTCGTACTCCGTAAAGTTTCATTGTGAAGGGAACTGCTGCTGCTGCTGCTTGAAACCATCTCGGCGCCAAAAAGCAATGGGAAACAGGGCAAATTCGGGAAGCCACATATTTCCAGTAGTGGGAGCAGCAGCGGTGCTTGCTACAGACGCAGCTGATCTCCAACAGAAGCGACCGTTGACGGCAGCAGTAGCAGTAATCGAAGCAGAATGTGGGCGAGTAAAAAAGTGCAAATTTAAGCCAGACGACGTGTGGCTTTGGGAGGGGTTGCTCGCCGAGTAAAATGGGGGAGCGGATTCTAATGAAATTTTAATTGTAGTCTTTTCCTCCCCTTGAGTGTACGACCGGACGATAAGGACTCGGCCACATATCGCTTTCACAAATCATACGCATAGGGTGAACGAGCGGTCGCTACGAGCCATCCGATGGTTCCGCACGATTGTGACTAAAGCTTGGACTCCGAAAAAATGATAAAAACGAAAGCAAAGTACGATCTCACAGGTGCCAAAAAGTGGTGTAGTTAAAAAAAAAAACGTTCAAAAAAGCCAACAGTATGGATGATAGGAGCACAAACGAAACTAGATATGGCAAAAGACTATGACGTAGTAAATATCTACAATGGGCGAGTCCAGGTGGAAAAATGAGCATGAGTTCAAGGAGGAAAATTCATTTTTACGGCATAAAGTTGTTCTAAGCTAAATGCGCTAGTATCAAGAGTAAACCCTGCACGCTAAAGTATTATTAAGATGGAAGGCTGCTTAGGTAACTGCGGCACACATATGTGAACAGCTCGTATACCTGTCACTGCTGGCTTAGCGACCAACACTTGAGTTTTTCCTTATTCCTCTACTATATAGCTGATACATGTGAAAAAAATCCTTGAAAGTGATCAGCTAAATCGGAATCGTATCAAAGCAGTTGGTGTTCGCGGAGATGAACTTCGGTAACAACGGGCCCTACAATGAAAGCCAGCCCGATCACACAATGGTATAACGCGTCGCTAGACACAAATTACCGTACGTCTGCCATTACAAGGCGACGCAGCAGCGTTGATGACAACAACTCTTATTCCCGTAGACGACTGTAACAATAACAAATCCCGCTACT